CTCAGACACTCGGGTAGTAGATTGTTTGCAGGATTCAATATCCCTGAACACAAAGCACCTGTTGCCTCGGAGGAAATGAAATATCTCCTAACAAGCCTCCGTATTTCTCTCTCTCAAATGGATTGTGTAAATGCTCGGCTCAGATGAGGGACGGGTCAGCCAGGCCTGCTGGGATTCCAGAAAGCGGAATATTGATCAAAGAGCATTTCCTGGATCTCATGTGTGTGTGTGTGTGTGTGTGTGTGTGCTGTAGTGACACTGCTGACTGAGCATGCTGAATTATATATGTCAGACTGAATGTCTGACCACAGTCATTTATCAGGCTGTAGTCGGACAGCACTTTAGGGGAAATCTTCTAGCCTCACAGGGACAGACTTTATAATGAGATAAATAAAGAGTGGGTGGTTCACAGAGTTTGATACTCTGCATTTATGTGGGATTATGGGATATGTAGAGTGCATCTACCAGGGTCATGCGCTATAAAGAACTGAACTATGAATGCCTTTTAAAGTCCAATTTAATTCCTGAATTTGAATCGAGGAAGTAAAATGGGATGCAGAAGTTTGAATGTGAATGAAAGCAAAATTAACTGAAATTCAAAGAAAATCATATAACTAATTTTTAACTAGAAAAGCAAAGTTTGAATAGCTTTGAAGTTAGAAGGTTTATAGCTTTTACAGGCAGAATGCCTGATAGAACGACAGAACGATCAATAGACAGACAGACAGACAGACAGACAGACAGATAGACAGATAGACAGACAGATAGATACATAATAATAAAATGACAGTGTTATACTGCTGTCACTTCGTATTTGAGTGGGCAAAAATAGAAGGAACAAATAATAATATTTGTTGTTATTATTCATACTTCAATAATTCATACATGAATAATTCAAATAATTCATAATTCAATAATTAGTAGTATAATATTTATAATAATTAATAAATAAATAAAAATTGTCATCAGAACTGGCATAATACACCATTAAAAGGAGCATTTACTCACACTTCTATGGACAGTGATGGCATAAATGTAATTTAATTTTCTCAAAATTGCAGGAAACAGTGTACCATTCTCAGCCATACCTGAAAAACGGGCAACAACAACAACAAATAAAAGGTGGTGCAATACTAAAGTGCTGGTGTAAAAGCAAATAAATAATGCATGTAGTGTTTTATGATAATCAGATATGGATTTCATCACAACTACACCCCCCTAAAATTATGTAAAAATCATGAATATTAATATTTTATTTATACATGAAAACAACAACTCTCAAACCCCACCTAAGACTGCTGTGCGTTTAAAACTTTTACAGTATGTAAATGCCCTCTGTGTTTGCAGGCAAAATGAGAAACAGGTCTAATAAAATGCAGCAGCTCACTTTAACATTGAGATCCTTCTGAAAGATCTGCAGCTGCTACACAACACATATCAGAGTTGGGTCTTTTCTGCATGTGGTGTGAGAAATCACAGAGTATGTTTTGACCTGACTTTAATTAGTGTTGCCAGATCTTGGTAGAAAAAAAGAACAAGCCCATAATAACCTCAAAACCAAATGCTTTATCTTAAGACATAAGCCACATAATTAAATATCATGACCTGCACCTGCCTACTTTATTAACACTATAAACTGGATCGCTTTATGAGCAGAGCAAAAAAACAAGCCCAAAGATGCTTAATAAGCGTCGCTCAAAAGCGCGCTCTGCTGAACAGCTTTCCAAAGTTAAACAAAACACTACGGCTCTGTCAACGGTGGTTTAGTTAAAATCGCCAAACATAAGTCTTTGTTTTATTTACAACTTCGAAAAATCCTTTTTTTTTTTTTAATTGTGTTTCTAAATCGTGAACAACTAAGAAACCTTGACTAATTTGACATTGATCTGATAAATGCAGTCTCTCTCTAGTTCTTCTGCTGTTCAATAATAACAGTATCTATCCTACAGTACTTGCTCCTTTTTACCCCATCATGACTGGATGGACAAAGTTTCTGAACACCAGAAAGGCATTGTGGATGTGGGTGGTCTTGGTCTGACGTCAGAACGTGCGGAGGAAGTCTTGAGTACTGAACATTACAGTATGTTTTGATGGCACATTGAACTCTATTGGCTCAAAAGACCAAGGAAAATTTGATTGCTCATGGAATGACCTCTTAAAGGTGTCATATGATGCGATTTCAATTTTTCCTTTCTCTTTGGAGTGTTACAAACTCTTGGTGCATAAAAAGCCCACCGGCCGCTCCTTCGTCGAATCCGCCGGCCGTGATGTTCTCAAGCCCACCGGCCTCCGCTCACTCAAGGCCGCAGTGTGTGACGCTATTTCGTTATGAAAGCGAAACTACTTTGTTTGGTCTTCCAAAAGAGGACACGACTAGAAATCAGTGGTTAATTTGTA